AACACAAGAAACTACATCGAAATACGGAACAAGCCACAAATCCACAAACAATAGCGAGACCAAAAGAGGGGAGAAGAGATGTGCTGAAAAAACTTCTACAGGAAAGTCAAAAATCTTCGTAATATATCAAGGCCCTAAATTAAGAAGTAACTGTAGACCATAATGGACTCGTATATTCGCGATTTTTGGATAGAAAAGATTGATACAGATGAATGCAGTAGCATTTTGAATTCAGAATGTAACAGAGAAAATGTTTCGTTGTTGCATCTAAATATTAGAAGTATAAATAGAAATTTCAACGAATTCAATGTGCTACTGCATGGAATCGAAAAAACATTCGACTGTATTTTTTTGTCAGAATGCTGGAAACTTGAACATATCTCACTATATCAACTGGAAAATTACGATGTGTGGTATAATAATGGTGATATTAACAAAAATGACGGGATTATAGCCTATATCAATAAGAACGTTGAAGTGATAGATAGCATAATACAACTTCCTAACACAAACATAAAAATTTTTCAGCTTTCTATGAAAAAATATAAAAACATGATACTTGTTTCGGCTATTTATAGACCACCGTCAACAGACGCATTGTCGTTTGTCAGTGACTTGGAGCCTTACCTTGAACTTTGTAACAAAGGACGCTGCATCCGTCTACTGGCGGGTGACATAAACATAAATATAATGGAAAAGTCCGAGTTATCGGAAAAATACTACAATACCTTGGTATTGTATAACCTTCTTCCAACAATGAATGACTACACCAGAGTGGATGGTCAGCAAAGTCTTGTATTGATCACATATTCACTAGCACAAATCTGGTAATATTTTAAAACCATATAACACATCACTTTACAACTATACTAGAGATACTTTTTCCTGAAATCATTATCAAAAATGTAAACATAAATTGGGCATACAGAACAAATGAAAATTGGACACCAATATATAATTCAATCAACACGCACAAAGCTACATTCCATACAAATATTGAACGAAAATATCTCTAAATGTACATATAAAATAAAACTCAAAAATAATCAAAGAATAAGGAAAAGATGGATAACTAGCTTGGTGAACTCTGTAAATAAGAAAAACAAACTATATCGTGAAATGACAAAAAACCCAACGGAAATGAATATAAAAAAATTAAGGATTACAGAAACTTATTAAATAACCTATTAAAAATAAGAAAAAGGGAATACTACGACATCAAAATCAAGGAAACAGTAGTGAAATGTTATGGGATTGTGTAAAAGAGATTTCCGGTAAAACGAATAAAAAGGCAGAAATAGATAAGATAAAAAACGAAAGTGGGGAATAAACATCCGATAAAAATGATATTGCTCGGGACTTTTTGAAACACTTCACAAGCATTGGTAAAAAACTGGCAGAGAAGAAACCACACACTGCTCCTATCAAACAAGTAAATAAGCTTATCAACTCATTGTATTTAGACGATACGGATGAAAATGAAGTGATGGAGACTATATTAAGCTTAAACAATGGCAAGGCTCCTGGAAGCGATAATATAAGAGCTGGAGCTCTGAAAAAAAAAATGATATTATATATGCAAGCCTTTAAAATATAATAATAAATGAATGTTTCCGTGCAGGAGTATTTCCCGATATTTTAAAGATACACACAATAACACCTATTTACAAAAAGAGGTAGCAAACTTGATATTGGAAATTATAGACCTATATCTTCAATTTCGAGTATCGCCATAGTGGTAGAAAAAATAGTCAAGTGAAGGATACTAAAGTTTTTCAATAGGTATAACGTGTTACATAAAAATCAATTTGGATTTAAAGAAGGCATATCAACGCAAGATGCAATAGCTACACCATCCAAATACTGTACAGTCTAGTTAACGATAAGATCCTTGCTATTTGCATCTTCATAGACCTAACCAAAGCTTTCGACACCATTAGTCATGATAAGCTCTTGGAAATACTCGAACTAAACGGTATAAGGGGAACTCCTTTAAATTAGTTTAATTAGTTTTTTTTAATTATTTCGAACAATATTTGATGTATAACAGTGAAAATTGGTATACAAGGGTTTTTTGGTACGACAAAACGAACCATGGGCATAGTTTTACTGTAGCCGCTAGAGGGCGCTCTCTACTGTACCTGTAGTGTATTAAAATTTTTTCTTAGTGTAATTTTTTGCTTTTTGAATAAAAAAACTGATTCTTCGCACTTTTCAACATAAAAAAGCTCTCTTGTGAATTTTCGTTATAGTTGCCATTTTTATTCTCCAATCAAGAGTTAGCGGATATTCATTTTGTGTATGGCTTTGTAAATGGAAACGCAGCAGAAGCAGCCAGAGAATACGCACGAAGATTTCCAAAGAGACGACATCCAACTCGCTCAGTATTTGTAAGAGTGCATCGCCATATAATTGAAAATGGTTTTGGAAATCTCCAAAGGGATCAAAACATAAATGTTCGTCAGCGCAGATTTACCCGTATGATTCTGCGTGAGTTTGATAGAGATCCGACCACAAGTGTTAGGAGAGTTTCTGGTGCCTTGGGAATTTCAGCAAGCCATGTTCACCGTGTTCTTAGAAATGACCATAGATGTCCTTACCATTTGCAACCTGTGCAAGGACTACAGCCAGGGGCCGGAGAACGAACATTTTGTCAGTGGATTCTTGATAGAACTGATAATAATAGGGAGTTTTTAAGTAACGTTTTATGGACCGATGAGTCATGCTTTACTAGACGTGGAGTGGTAAATTTTCATAATCAACATATTTGGTCGCATGAAAATCCGCATGCAGTTCGGGAAAGAAATGTTCAGCATGAATTTAGTGTGACGTGTGGATTGGTATCTACCGTAATCGACTATTTGGATCCTACCTTTTGCCTGCAAGGTTAAATGCTGCGACCTATCCTATTTACTGCTCGAATCAACTTTCCTCCTTTTTGCGGATTTTGCTCATTATTTTCCTACTTGTTGTTATATATATATATACAGGGTGACTTCGAAGTTGAGTCATTTATTTTAACAGTGAGTAGATCTGATCAAAAGAAATGTTTTTTTCCTTTACCATTTTTCTGGTAAAATTAAAGTAACAAAGTTATAGCCCTTTGGAAGTTTGAGTACCGCCCTGCCTATTATATGCTCGTGTTTGGCGACAACGGATATAATCCGCCTGACCGGTTCATCGCATCGGAAACAAAAAAGCGAAAGAATTTGAAACGTTTATCACGATGTTTTTCGTCAGTCGATAAATCCTGAGTGAATAGTAGTGTGTTGCGTGGCTCAAACGAAATCAAAAATGGCACATGTTTACGAAAATGCTGAACTTGTGGACATGATTCTTATTTACGGGGGGGGCAGTCTTTACAAAATGCTCCCGGATGCATCACGGATTTATGCGAATCGGTTTCCCAATCGAGTGCAACCAACCCCTCGTGCCTTTGTCAATGTAGTGCAAAGGGCTCGTGAATCAGGTGACTTAAGACCTCACAGGTGAGGGCATGCTGCTCCAAGACCGCACGATCAAATACAGGTCCGCACTGAAATACTTGTCGGGAGGATACTTTATTAAACAAGGTAACATTTTTTTTTTTATTTTTTTTATTTTTTTTTTATTTTTACACACATATTTTGGTTTATCTTCCTTCTACAATCATTATCTGAAAATTAATGACTCAACTTCAAAGTCACCCTGTATATATATATATACAATATATATATATATATATATATATATATATATATATATATATATATATATATATATATAATTAATGATTTGTTCTCAATGGATTCGGGAGATTCAGTGCTAGGATTCGCAGATGATACAGTTATAATTTATGAAGACTCAAGTTGGCACGCACTTAAAAATAAAATCGAAAACAATCTTACTAACGTACTAGCATTTTTCAACACTAAGCTACTCACAGTTAACTCTGAGAAAACTAGTTTTGTACCTTTCGCATCTGCCACAATATTACGGAATAAATGTCAGAACAGGAAACAAGATCACAACTATTAAACGTCAAAGCAGCACTAAACATCTGGGAATATATATATTGATCAGAATCTCAGATGGGACGTCCAAATCGAATATATGAGAAAGAAAATAAGATGTCACATTCCTAAATTCAAATGGCTTAGAAACATCCTTAATACTGATTGTATGAGAATCTTATACTTCGCACTTGGGCAGTCACATCTTTGATATGGAATACTTGGCCGGGGAGGAGCTGCTTACGCTTACATAAAGAACTTTGAGATTGCCCAAAAATATTTATTAAAAATTATTTTTAGCAAGAGCAAAACCCAGCCATCTGATGAACTATACCATGAGTGTGGAATGATGGACATTAGGCAAACCTTTATTTATAATTGCATGGTACACTTTTTTAAAAATAAATCATATCATGAGGAAATCGCCACAAATATTAGACCCGCCAGAAAGTTTCCAGACACATTATGGTACCTAGGCCAGAAAAATCTTTATTGCAACGCTCCTGGATTTATCTTTGCCCCAAATTGTACAGCGAAATGCCTTCAGATTACAAGTTAATACAAAATATTAGTTTATTCAAGAAAAAAATCTCAGTTTAATTCAATATGCCTTTTTATTGTACATGTTGCATCCAAAAACGAGTATGTTAATTTTTTTTATCTATGTTATTTATTATTGAATTTAGTTAAAGCGCCACAGTGTCAGTCCAAAGTTTTTTCGTTTACTGACAGTGATCCTGTAACTCCAATGTATGTCAGTGCATGAGTGTAGAAACGCAAAATGCATTACGAAATATTTGCTAGACTTGATTTATAACTGCGGACGTACACATGATAAAAATGGGATGGCCACACACAAGATTTTTCTTTCATGGCATTACTTTTATTTGTCATTGATACTCCCTTGTGGCAACGATCTTTGAAATTGGTATTTTAATAATTGTATTTGGCAAATAAATTATTATTATTATTATTATTATTATTATTATTATTATTATTATATTGTAGGCCAAAATGGAACAACTCGACAACTCCAGAAGAATTAGACAGAAATGAAAAAAAGCACTTTTTGGAATGGAGACGAGCCTTGGCTCAGTTGCAGGAAGATCATGAATTAATGTTAACGCCTTATGAGAAAAATCTAGAATTTTGGCGTCAATTATGGCGCGTGGTCGAAAGAAGTGATGTAGTGGTACAAATCGTGGATGCAAGAAATCCTCTGCTTTTCTATTGCGAGGATCTAGAGAAATATGTGACTGAGGTATCGAAGGACAAAGTGAATTTATTAATACTCAATAAGGCAGATTATCTTACTAAAAAGCAGCGAGAAACATGGGCAAAGTATTTCTCATCAGTTGGAAAACGAATGGTATTCTTCTCTGCTCGTTTAGAAACTGAAAAAGAAACAAAATCTAAAGATACAGAAAACCCAGAATCTGAAACTTCAAATCAAATAAATAATGATTCAAAAGATGTAGAGAATGGGAAGGTGGATGACGAGGGCAATTCACAGAATGCTGAGACTGCAAGAATGTGTATTGAAACATTACAAAATGCTGTGGAGCAAAACGCGAGTGCCTTGAATGAGATAATAAACAAAATTGAATCAGTTATTGGAAAAGCGCAGTTAAGTGAAGAAGTATGTCAGATACATAATTCGCCTGACTTGATCGATAAAGAGACCATTGTTGAACTATTTAGAACCATTCACACTGGAACTAAAGTAATGCAAGGGGTTACAACAATTGGACTAATTGGTTATCCTAACGTAGGCAAAAGTTCTACTATCAATTCCTTACTAACCATAAAAAAACTGGCCGTGTCGGCAACGCCAGGCAAAACTAAACACTTCCAAACACTGTATTTGGATAAAGATTTAGTATTATGCGATTGTCCAGGATTAGTTATGCCTAGCTTTGTTTTTACGAAAGCTGACATGATTATTAATGGGATCTTGCCCATAGATCAAATGAAAGATTATATACCCTCTATAAACGTGATAACCACCAGTTTTCCTCGTAACATTCTCGAAGCACAGTATGGAATTAGTCTACCCACTCCTCAAGATGGTAAAGGTCCAGGTACATCACCTACTGCTGAAGAGTTTCTCAATGCATATGCTTGTAAGTATGATTTTTATTCAAACTAATGTACTTCATAAATGTTGATTCCTGAATATGGTCAAGAAATGTCCCACGGAGGTCTGTAAATTAAGTAATGAGACTTGCAACGTAGCGTTCGATTTGGCAACACTGACGCCTGGCGTGGAGGAGAGACAAGCGAACATGTGATCCGCCTTCAGTTGAACTTGCTCGAGTCATTTAGTTGTCCGTAGCGCGAAGCAGTTTTTCCTATTGTGTTCTAAAAATGAGTAACATCAATTTCGAGCAAGGGTCTGCTATCAGGTTTTGCTTCAGACTTGGGCACAGTGCAACGGAAACTCTTGCTAAACTCAACAGGCGTACGGAGATAATGTTTTGATAAGGGTCCATCCAGGTTTTTCGGTGGTTTAGGGCGTTTTTAGAAGGGAGAGAGTCGATTGAAGATGAACCACGAAGCGGACGGGCTTCTTCAAGAACCGATGAAAATATCGACTGAATCCGGGATTTTGTTCATTCAGATCGTCGGTTGACAGTCAGAATGATCGGGAAAGAGTTAAATTTGACTCGCACCACCATTCATCAAGAAAACTGGGTGTTGCATCACGATAATGCTCCTTGTCAATAAGCGGGTTTTTGGCCAGTAAAAATATTCCTGTGGCTCCTCAGCCTTCTTCTTCGCCTGTCTTGAGTCTTTGTGACTTTATTCTCTTCCGAAGTAGAAAAATCACCTCAAGGAACTCGTTCTGGGTCAGTAGAAAACATTCAAACGACTGTAACCGACCAGCTAAAGGCTACAGTGTGCGAGTTCCAGCACTGCTATGAGGAGTGGAAGAACCGAAAATTGTGATTAATTTGAATAAGAAAATTAAAAAAAAATCAGTCTGATCATTTAATTTACAGATTTTGTAGGATTAAAAAACAAAGCTCAGCTGAAGTTATTAACAAACTACAGCGGTTTCAACCAGACAAATCTTATCAACTAGTCTTAAGCACATTAGTGTTAATTTGGATATATTTTTAGATAGCAGAGGTTATATGACAGCCAATGGACAGCCAGATATGGCTAGAGCTGCCCGGTATATTTTGAAGGACTACCTGAATGGAGAATTACTATACTGTCATGCTCCTCCTGGAATTGATCAGGAATTTTACAGCTCCGTAACAAATAGGAAAGTCAAAGCAAAAAAAGCGGCTCCAACACCTCACTCTATGAGAGCTACAAGGGTATGTAATATATATATATACAGGGTGACTTCGAAGTTGAGTCATTTATTTTAACAGTGAGTAGATCTGATCAAAAGAAATGTTTTTTCCTTTACCATTTTTCTGGTAAAATTAAAGTAACAAAGTTATAGCCCTTTGGAAGTTTGAGTACCGCCCTGTCTCAATCATAATATTCGTGTTTGGCGACAACGGATATAATCCGCCGTATCGGTTCATCGCATCGGAAACAAAAAAGCGAAAGAATTTGGAACGATGTTTTTACAATTATTTCATTCATTTGTATACAGTCAGTGTCAGTGAATAGTGGTATCTGTTGCGTGGCTCAAACGAAATAAAAAATGGCACATGTTTATGCGGATCGGTTTCCCAATCGAGTGCAACCAACCCCTCGTGCCTTTGTTAATGTAGTACAACGGGCTCGTGAATCAGGTGACCTAAGACCTCACAGGGGACCTCACGATCAAATACAGGTCCGCACTGAAATACTTGTCGGGAGGATACTTTATAAAACAAGGTAAACATTTTTTTTTTATTTTTACACACATATTTTGGTTTATCTTCCTTCTACAATCATTATCTGAAAATTAATGACTCAACTTCAAAGTCACCCTATATACTAAGTGACATATAAATCCGAACACCCAGATTAAATGGTTTTATTTTAATAAAATTTTGTATAAGTACTTAATGAAGCATAATAAGTAAATGATAAAAATTTCAAAATGATTGCACTGCTTTAAAGCCCTTTGACCTTTAATAATGTGTGGATGCACCCTGATGTGCTACGCATTCTCCAACGCGCCTAGGCATGCTTCTGATCAGGTGGTCAATGTCCTCCTGTGGTATCTCATTCCAGGCAACCACCAACTCCTCTCGAAGTGCTTCTAGAGTCTGAGGAGGACGTTGCAAATTGAGCAATCTCCTACCCATCATATCCCACACGTGCTCAATTGGGGATAAGTCGGGAGATCTTGGTGGCCATGGTAACAATGTCACATCATTATGTTGAAAGAAGTCTATTGTGACTCTTGCAACATGTGGTCGGGCATTATCTTGTTGGAAAGTTGGATCTGCTAGGGTGTCAAGATAGGGTAAAAGATGGGGTTCTAGAACTTCGTGGATATAACGTTGCGCGTTCATGTTACCTCTGATGAAGATTAAAGGTGACCTGGAACCATAAGCTATAGCACCCCAAACCATAACTCCAACAGTGTGATGAACATGTCTTTCAACAAAAAACTGTGGATTCCTCCTTTCACCACGTCGCCTTCTAGCCCTGGCACGACCATCGTGCATGCCTAAACAAAATCGAGACTCGTCACTAAAGACAATACTGTTCCATTCCTGATCCCAGAGTGACCGTTGTCTGCACCACTCGAGGCGATTACGTCGGTGTAAAAAAAACAGACTTACCACTAACTGTCTCAGCGCTTCACCTGGTGTGTGAAAATTTATTGAACATATTAAAAAAATCCACTTATAAAGAGGGAACACAATTTTAATACATACATTATTTTTCATTTTAAAACCCACACTGCACTTTTTTTGTATCTAAAGAAGGTGTTCAAAATGTCGTCTTCCACTTTCCACACAAACTTCATTAAGACGAACCCAGTTTCTTCTTACTTTAGGTCCTCGAAGTTGTCCATTTATTAGCCGCATTAAAAATTTGTTCGCCAAATTGTACCTCGGTTGTTATTGGACCAGCCCCTTAACCCATCCCTTTAAGTTCTCCCCAATACCAGAAATCCATCGGATTGAGGTCAGGAGATCTTGCTGGCCATTTTCGAGGATCAGGAGCATTTCGACCAATCCAGCGATTTGGATAATGTTCATTCAAATACTGAATGACGCCTCTAAAAATGTGTGGTGGTGCCCCGTCATGAAGAAACCACAAATTCTGTCTCCTTTGTAATGGCATGTTGTCTTAGGTCTGTTCCAAAAGTTCTGGTAGGGTATTGGCTAGAAAGCTCAGGTATCCTTCTCCTGATAACTTTGGGGGTAACTCGAAAGGGCCAATTACCTGATCGTCAAGAATACCCGCCCAAATATTTATTTTAAAGCGTTGTTGGAAATGACCTTCACGAATGGTATGAGGATTTTCTTGGGCCCACGTGTCAGTATTATGGAAATTTAATATCCCGTCTCGCGTAAAAGTTCATTCGTCCGTCGCTAGAATGTTTTTAAAAAAATCCGGATTTTCAGTGTTTTTGTGCAAAAACCACTGACAGAATGTTAGTCTGGCGTCGCGGCGGCCTAATTACCGAGTGCTGATATCTGCATTGATTTCCACGATATTTAAAATTTGTTCCTCCTGCTCTACAGTAACATGTCTTTCACGAGTGCGAATATTAGTGGGCTGAACACTTCCTGTATCTAGAAGTCTTTGGTGCACTTGCACAAATGTCCTTCTGTCTGGGTGTACCCGTTGGCGAAATCTGTCGCGATAAATTTGAACTGCAAGATTTGAATTCTGACGAGCTTCACCGTAAACTAACATGTCGGCGAACTCTTGATTCGAGAACATTGTAAATCAATCAACACAACGACGTACGCGAACAAAAACAGAACAACATACTAACCACTGTTACCGTTTGCGATCGATTGCCGGTTCGATAAGAGTGTTGATGGCATTTATTTTTAATTACCCAATTTAAAAACGTTTTAGATTAGATTATAAAAATTAGTAAGATTGTGGTGATTGTTGTCGATATAAAGCACTTAAAGTTGTAAACTATAAAGCCATTTAGACAAAAATCTATTGACTTTTGGACCATGGGTCATATGAACTTTTTGACTTAATTTGACCCCCCCCCCCTATTGCCTATTTCAATAATGACCACCATAACGTTTACACCCTGTATATATAATATGTATATATGTTGCACATAAGTATCAACATTGGCACAGGGGATGGGTGGGTAGGTTGAAACAAGTTTATTCGTGACTATTAATGCGTTTGATGCTATGCTGTCACTTTTCTAGCAATAGATAGCTCTTATAGACACCATAAACCTTGTTCTGAATGTAATATTTCGAAAAATAACGCTGAGATGATAACTAAAACTAAAAATAGTCGTTTTTCAGCCATCCTCTGTCACAAGTAAAGATATTGATAAGGAGTTTTTCGAGGCACAGACTTCACAGGCACACACAAAAGGAACACCTACATTGTAAGTTCTTTTTTAGATGGTTAAAGCTGAACTGAATATATTGAAATTTTCAGGGATGCTCAAGAAACAGGAAAACCTTGGAAGAAATTAAACAAGCATAAAAATAAAGGGAAAAAGGAGAAGTTGCGAAGAGTTTATGCTCACCTTGATCAACATTAAAAATGATATTTTTGTAAATCAATCTTACGATTGACTATCTATTTTATAATGTTTTAAGGGTTTATAAATCAAAATATATGGTTTTTTACATATTGTGTTACTAAAAATATTTTTCTTTTCTCCATTTGCTCCATGTTTTCAACACAATAGTTTAGAAACGCGGTGACATATTGCATTTGCTGGCTTTTATTTTAGAAAAAAAAATACTCTATGCGACTCAATTTACTACGCATTTGAATGATCTTCAGTTCTATGGTTTCAAGTTGCTGTAAGTGCGCTTGAAGCACTTGTGCGAAACTATCGACCTGAAAAACATTATTTTAAGAGAGAAAAGTATAGTTATAAATGATATGGAATTACTTGTGCAACATCACCAGATTTCTTGGTTTCCACTTCAGCCACTTGAAAATTAAACTCCTCGAGTAGTTGTTTGAACTTTAGGAAAGTATTGTTAATACCCTCTGCAGTAGTATATCTGTAATAGTAAAGTAATTCACTTAACATAGACACGTTCACCTTTTACTTCCCACGCAAACTGGCAAGAAAAAAAAGCAGATATGTTATTACCTTCGTGTCAGTCTGACCAATAGGTAGTTGGCGAGTGCCAGATGGTCGGTAGGGCAGGGGAGAAACTTACAGATCGCAACATTGTCAAATGTGTGTGGACAATGGTATAATTATATGGGCCTGTTTGACTGACTTGATTCATTTAATTGTTGGTAATGCATGGTGCATAGCTAAATTTTTTCTTAGAGGGCTAACTTGTGCCTAACAGAATTCTTTATGAACTGACAGCGTTGCATGCGACATACAGAGTCAACTTACTTGATGGTATTTGTTTTGTTTGAGTGTTCACCTCAGTACTCATGAATTGAAATATCGATACATGGCCTATTTAATATTTTGCATGAATATCTTTTTATGGTGGAAAAGAATGACTTTTCGCGATAGAAAATCGTTTATGTTGTCGTCTTTCCGAACCTGCAAGGGTTCGTATATCAAATCATTTGGCAATGTAATACCATCACAGTAATTGAATGTAGATTGACGATGAAATTTTACTCTGGAATACTGTGAAACTTTATTTTTAGAACTCCTAAATTACTACAGAGTCATGTAATGTGACTTGATGACAGCTGACCAATTTCTAACCATTTTTCTGCTACCGTAGTAGTTATTGTGATACCCTAGGGATACGAGGTAGCATTTATCATGGAACATATATATATATATATATATATATATATACAGTGCTTTTCTTTAATGTCCCCCTGCCTTTTGATTTTTCAAACGGATCAATTCAAAAAATTAAAACTTATGGTAATGAAATTGATGCGTGGATACCATATTTTAGAGAAAAATTGACAGATGAAAATGTCAAGATGGCCTCTGGGCGCCATCTTGAAAAAAAATTATATGAAAACGGGGGTCTTGTGGCACATGATTTTGAAGCTCCTGACGATTACTTTATAGCCCTAGAATATAAAGTCGATACCTTTGCCTACTACAAAATGGTGGTATATTTAATAATAACTTGAACACAAACCCACTAACATGTATATCTCTACAAATAATTGTAATTTCCTGCCGTATCCACAGCAACAGCGATAAAAACTTGTCTTGTTATGTTTTGTTGACAGTGACAGTAATATCATTACGAAAACAAACATCATTGTACAGTTAAAATATTCTTTTTTAGTGCTAGATACTGTTTGAACTATTTTTAAAATGGTCAATTCTCGTCCATTGGAAAAAAAAGCGAAGCGATTTTTATTTATGGTGCGACGCGCAACTTTCACGCAAGGATTTTTAATGATCGTTTCTCGAATCGTCCTATCTGTAGGAAATATTTAAGGGAACTTGTATCTAAATTTACAGCTACTGGTAGCGTAAACAACAAAAAGCCCCCAGGTCATCCGACCATCCCGGAAAAAAAGCAAGTTCAAATAATTGGTGAGATCATAGTAAAAATCCCTAACAGTCTACTTCCTCCATCGCGAATGTATGTAAGGTTTGTCTTTCTACTGTATGGAGACTTTTGAAAAAGAATAAGTATCACCCATACAAAAGTCAAATGGTGCATCAGCTAACTGAAGTTGACCCAGATCGAACAGAACAGAACAGAATTCTGCGAGACTATGACGGTAACCATTGCACGGCATCCTACCTATATTTAAAATGTTTGTTTTAGTGATAAATATACATTTTTTCTCAACGGTAATGTGCATAGACAAAATTGTCGTTATTGGAGTGACACCAACCCTCACGTCTTCCGGGAAACTCATACTCAATATCCACGAAAAATTAACGTTTGGGCTGGGATATTGAGAAATCATATTGTGGGGCCTCGATTCATCGGACAAACTTCAACCGGGGAACTGTATTTGGAAAATACTATTGACCCCTCTAATCACCAAAATCGTCGAAGCGAATCCTAATGAATTCGATACTGATATTGTATTCCTGCAAGATGGTGCTCCACCACACTACTACAGACAGGTTAGGAATTATTCAGATAACAATTTCTCCGGTCGTTGGATTGGCCGCCGTGGTCTTGTGGAATGGCCAGCTCGATCACCATATTTGATACCTTTAGAATGTTTGTTATGGGGCTATTTGAAGCAAAAGGTGTACGAAACTGAACCTGCTTCAGTATTGGATATACGGCTGAGAATAACGAATATTTGTAGAAATATCGATGTTACTATGTTTCAAAATCTTCGACGCGAAATTACGGACCGGCTGTTATTGTGTTTAAGCCTACCATTTCCAGCATCTTCCAAACTGAACTCAACATATTTAGTCGAATTATCAAGTTAAATGTCAATGTACTCAGGTAATTATTAAATGTACCACCATTTTGTAGTAGGTAAAGGTATTGACTTTATATTCTAGGGCTATAAAGTACTCGTCAGGAGCTTCAAAATGATGTGCTACAAGACCCCCGTTTTCATATAATTTTTTTTCAAGATGGCGCCAAGATCCATTCAAAAAATCAAAGGGGCGGGGGACATTAAAGAAAAGCACTGTATATATAACAAACCGAGAAATAATGGTAAAATTTCTGCGAGAAATGTGCTTTTATACTAAACTTAAATATGTAAGAGATAGTTAACAGATCCAATTTTTGAACTCTTCAAGGTCACTAAGCTGGTATAAACTAGGATCAACATACCGGCAGTTATCGATGAACAGAGTTCTTAAGAGTTAAAATGTGTAATGGATGTGTGGCGGGTTTGTCTGGTAGGATTAACGAGTGGCGGCATAATGATAGTCTAGAAGCAGAGCCCCCATCTTAAATGAGATGCATTATTAGGCAGCAATTGGAAAATATAACCATATTTCGATATCATTCGATCCAAATCGTGATTTTTGGCACCCATATTAAAAAAAGGTCAAGCTGTAAAACGATCATCCAACTTATTTTCGTAGAGAGCTGATTTCAACTGTTTAACGCTCATTTGACTTCTTTTTTAAAGCAAACATTTTATGACTACTCATCCTTTGAATAATTCAGCAGTCATTCAGATATTGCAGGTATTCAAATACAACTTGGTAAGAGAAAGAAATCTATTTTTGGTGGAGTAAATACCACTTTCGAACAGTTAAAAGTATTGAATTCAAAAATACTAAAGTCAGTTTTGGTATATCTCACCACGCAGTTGAAATAACATTTCAAATCCTTTAAATTACATGATCAATCACTGAGGTCACGTGTAAAATTAATGTGCCCTCAGTTTAAATACAGGGCATTATTAAGCACTGTTGGGGTATGGAAAAACTAGGTCATGCGGTCCAAACCGTCTCCATTTGACCGCCAAGTTGTACAAAGGTTACTCAACATATCTTCTTCATTTTTTTAAAGCTCGTTTTACTGATTTTATTAAGGCAAACATAATATGTAAATAACCCAATAATTATTGAGGTGTATTAAGGATCTTAATCTTTGAGAATGTATATAAATATCACTTCTTTACGTGTAAAGTGGTCTGCCTTTGGTAGTGCTACAACCAAGTTTGTGAACTGTTGACAGTACTGCATTTACTGATCCTGTCACGAAATAGAAATGAGTAATCCAAATCTTTCGAAGATGGTAACGCTGACTATAAGACGGGGTGTTATAATTGGTAACGTGTGTACTGATATGTGCTCTGAACGTTAATCTGGAAGTTGGTGAAATGTATTTAGTATGTATGTAGTATTTGAAGAAAAAGATCTAGTGATTTGAGTCATAAGTCATATTTAGAAATGGCGATCGAATCGCAAAATACTTCATAGGGCATATATCTGAATAATTATTGGATTATTCGAAAAATGTATGACATCAAAACACGTAGGGGAGACCGGGGCTGGTAGCCGCACGGGTTGGTAGCCGCACTGGCTTTTTCCCCAAAACTATAAATATGGCGACAATGCCGCGTCTCGTGTTTTAAAGCTTAAGTCGCGCCCGAACTTTGTGGAACGTTTCAGTCTGATCAGTGCAATAGAAGTGAGTGCACGCCGTCAAGTGTTATTTTGATGCTCGTAAGTGAATTTATTTTTTCTATTGTTTTTATTATAACTTTTGATGTAAAAGTAGGAATATAAAACGAAGTAGACCGTCAGAATTCTACGGAAATCTATTTTTTAGTAACATATTTTTAATAACCACTTTAGTTACCAGACAAAAAATAAACGCAAAAGTATTTTAAAAAACGCTTTGGGGTCGGTCGCCGCATTTGTTGAGGGGCAGGTTGCCGCATGCGGCAACCATCCCCACTTCGGATTTTAAATCATATTGTTGCGACGCAAAAATGTATTTATTTATATATACGTAATTTTAACGATAAGCTTCGCATGAATAATTTAACTTCTAACATAATCATAGCGAATGACCACCTGTATCCGATGTAAATTATAGAAGTTACTCGTATTCCACGTAAATAGAAAAATAACAAGGGTAAAACAAAAGTAAATCCCCGTATTACTGTGATGACGAGCAACTTCCTGTTTACCGCTTTTCATCCTTATTAGCTATCTCTATCTGGAAATCTCCCTTTCAACTTTTACTCTCATTATCCCTACCTTAGCTTCACATTTGCATCTAACTGGACCTAACCTGTGTCCACTTTTCACTTTCACGCCTACTCTCGACTTATTCCCTTTAGCTCCACCCTTATGACGTCCTATCTATACCTTAGCATTTAAACCTTTCTTAACACTCCTACTCTTCCCTAATCAACCAATAGAATATTGGATAATATTAAAAACATAGCTGCATGCGAAAAATATTGTATACGTCGACAGCATGACAGATTCGTCTCAACTTGCGAACGAGTAACACATAACTGTTATCTCCAACCACTTGTAACTCTTTATCGTATTACGCCATAAATTAAAATAAATCAATATATGTAAAAAATAAAGTCTTTGTAGATCAATTTGTACAAAGAAGAGTGAGTATACATAATAATAAATATATATTTCAATCCTACACTCAACACATATAATTTGGAAAAACATATTTAAAAACGTTTTATTATCTTCATAGAATATGAGAAACCGTAAAAGAACCACTGAAAGGGGTAAGACACTAGCACACATTATGCTAAGGGCTGCAAGAGAGGTCAAATTAAATAATAAATCCATTAGAGGAGCAGGAACCGATTACGATATCCCTGAAAAAACCCTGAGACGATTTCTGCAGAAAGTCACGGATGAAGAGCTTTATGGCACTAATGAACTACCTACAACTGCAGTCGGCTATATAAAAAATAGACAGGTAAAAAATATAATTACTTATTGGGCACTTTAGTAAACAGTGTGCTTGTGAATTATTTAATACATTTTCTTCATTTTCAGGTTTTCTCCGACGAACAAGAGAAACAATTAGAGGAATATACTTTGAAGTTGAGTCATTAATTTTCAGATAATGATTGTAGAAGGAAGATAAACCAAAATATGTGTGTAAAAATAAAAAAAAATTAAAAAAAAAATTTTTACCTTGTTTTATAAAGTATCCTCCCGACAAGTATTTCAGTGCGGACCTGTATTTGATCGTGAGGTCCCCTGTGAGGTCTTAAGTCACCTGATTCACGAGCCCGTTGTACTACATTAACAAAGGCACGAGGGGTTGGTTGCACTCGATTGGGCAACCGATCCGCATAAACATGTGCCATTTTTTATTTCGTTTGAGCCACGCAACAGATACCACTATTCACTGACACTGACTGTATACAAATGAATGAAATAATTGTAAAAAGCATCGTTCCAAATTCTTTCGCTTTTTTGTTTCCGATGCGATGAACCGATACGGCGGATTATATCCGTTGTCGCCAAACACGACCACATAATATTATTATTGAGACAGGGCGGTACTCAAACTTCCAAAGGGCTATAACTTTGTTACTTTAATTTTACCAGGAAAATGGTAAAGGAAAAAAACATTTATTTTGATCAGATCTACTCACTGTTAAAATAAATGACTCAACTTCGAAGTCACCCTGTATATTAAAGGCTGCCGATGTATACTTTGGCTTATCACCAAAACAGATAAGAACTTTTGCTTATGAATGGGCTGTCTCACTAAAAATTAAATTTCCCGATTCCTGGAATACAAATAAATGCGCCGGACAAGATTGGTTTACCTATTTTATTAAAAGACACGCTGGTCTGTCTATACGTACGCCGGAAGCCACAAGTTTGGCAACGAGCATCAGGATTCAATAAGCACAGTGTAGGAAATTTTTTTAAAAATCTGAAAACAGTTCTGCATAGGCTACAAATTAGTCCTCAGGATATCTACAATATGGATGAAACTGGAATTACGACCGTTCAAAAACCTGACAGAATTGTAGCAAGAAACAAGTAGGTCGAATCACCTCTCAAGAAAGAGGCACATTAGTGACTCTCGCGATAGCTGTAAACGCCATTGGTAATAGCATTCCGCCCTATTTTATTTTTCCACGCGTTAACTTTAGAGAGCACATGCTCTCTGGTACCCCACCTGGAAGCGCTGGCGCAGCTAACCAGTCTGGATGGATGAAAAAGGAGCATTTTCTGCACTGGTGTCAACATTTTGTTAAGCACACTGGTTGCTCCAAAGAAAGGCCGGTACTTCTGTCGTTAGACAACTATGACTCCCATTTATCAATTGATTCTTTGGACTATCTTAAAGAGAATGGAGTGACGGTGTTGTCCTTTCCGCCACACTGCTCTCACAAGCTACAGCCGCTGGACAGATCAGTGTATGGGCCCTTAAAAAAATATGTAAATACAGCATGCGATGGTTGGATAACCAGTCATCCAGGGTCTAGTATGACCATCTACGATGTCCCTAAAATTGTGGCCGTAGCTTTGCCAAGCGCAATAACACCAAAGAACATAACAGCAGGGTTTAAAGTGTCAGGAGTTTATCCATTCAATGAATGTGTCTTTTCTGAAGACGAATTTCTCCCCTCTTATGCTACTGACCGCCCACTATTTGAGCAAGCAAAAGATGATGAAATTGACAGGAAACCTAATAATAGCCCTAAACCTAAAATATCTCAGGATACTAGTCCCCAACCAGGAACATCTCGGGATTATTCTGAAATTCTTAACGCTGATAGCTCAATGCCAAAAACTTCTGAGATAAACCCACCGCTCGAAGAAAAAACTCAGCAAGCAAATAATTAAAAATATTAACATATTAGCCAAACAAGATACCGAGTTGAACACCCAAAAAAAAACAGTCAGTCCATTTGAGCTAAAGCCCCTGCCAAAAGCTCCACCAAGAAAAAATGAGAATAAAGGAACTCGAAAAAGGCGTCACACCGAGATTTTGACAGATACGCCAATAAAAGAGGCACTCAGAGATGAACAAACAAAAAAAGTTCCAATAAGAAAAGAGCTTAAAAATAACAAAGAAAACAAAAAACAAAATAAAAAGAAGAAAAATGTAAATAAAAAACAATTGGCTGAAGAATCGAGCGATGAAGATGAGTGTCTATGCGCTTACTGCCTTGATACTTTTACAAACAGTCGTCCGGGTGAGGAATGGATTAGATGTTTTTCATGCAGTGGGTGGGCACACAAAGAATGTGTGGGAGAAGATAACGCTCCTTTTTATTGTATTAATTGTATGAGTGAGTAGAGAAGTGTTTGTAACTTAAAATGTTAATATTTTTTATTTTAAGTCTTTGTGACCTAAGTTCATTAAAGAGTTAGTTACCTAATTTTCTTATAAGTTTAACACTTAACGATAACTTTGACTGTTTTTTTAGTTTTACTTTTTATTACCTGAGTTCATTAGTTAAATTTTCTAATAATTTTAGGTTTAAAAAAATGTACCTATTTGATTAAAAAAAAATAAAAACATTTTTCTTGTCAAAATTTAATATTAGAAAATAAAAAATCACACATTCTTTATTTTTTTACAATCATTTTTGTATGCGGCAACCTACCCCATGTGGTGCGTCAACCAACCCCGTTAGAGGGGTAGGTTGCCGCACTCTGCTTTAGTGAAGGAAATATATATTTGTATCAAAACGATATGAGATAAGAAAACAAAAAAAAATATTTTATGTTGCAAATATATAGGACTTTTCACGGCAACAATGGGTTTTAAAAAATATTAATTATAGTAGCCGTCATAAAATAAATTCAAAAAAGTGCGGCTACCAGCACCGGTCTCCCCTAGTCTTATTTTATATAGTTGTTGGCTGGTATTTAAGTCGCCTATGTTACCATCCGTTGAATTCGAATTCTATACTAAAGTTAATACTACCAAAAAATCAGCACATTCCAAACATCTGTTGATCCTCCCTATAAGAGGAGTTACTATCATGTGACCCTTTTTTGTACCAAAAAGTTTATCTTTTTTTTTCTACCACACTAGAATCACTTGTACTTTTATGGAACATAAACATCCAACTTGCGAATAAGGTTTTTGTAACTTGTATAATATTTAGTAGTATTAGTGTGAAACACAATACCGTGTATTAGTATTAGTACAAGTTACAAGTAATTTGACGTGTAATTACTACACTATACTTTTTATGGAATAGGACCGCAATTACAAGTATAAAAGTGCAATACTATCAAAAAATGACAATTAATAGAGATGTTGATTTGTAAAAGTGCTTTAAAGTAATTATGCATTTTAATCATGGAAAATGTTTGAAAAATGAGACTGGCGGACCGGTAAGAGCTTTCCGAAGAAAGACACGTGACAGTGCTCTACAATAAGATAACAAACGAAAACGTCCAAAGAAATATCAAATTGCAATGATGCACACGACATACGTAACACGTCTGAACCTGAATGTGACTCTGCCTTGATACGACTGCTCTGCCGCTCGGCATAGGCATTTAATTGCGAATTGACCAATGAGGGCTCCTGTTTTACGTCGAGACGGCGGCGTTAGCGTGAAAATCACCCGAACCTTTTGTTTACATCCGGTCTATCTCTTATCTGAATATACTTTAGAAATACTTGTACTCCCTTATCGTCCAATCATCGTATATGATATTTTGAAGAACATGCTTTGACGATCTTCTTGAAAAGTGAGCTCTCGAGATATCAGAATCTTCCCTAAAAAGTGCTTCTATAGTTCAAATAATGTAGAGGGATGTCTTTTAAGTTTTGCATATGGAAATAAAACAACACGGTAGGTAGTTTTAAATGACTTTATTGTTTTTCGAAGTATTCTCCACGAAGATTAATACACATCTGCATGCGCTCGAACTAATTTTCGAAGCACTTATTCTACGCGTTTGCTGGCAGATCCAAAACGGCATTTTTGAATGCGTCAACTGCTTTTTCTGGTGACTGGAACCTTTGACCACGCAGTCTGTTTTTAATTTTCGGGAAAGTAAAGAAATCGTAAGGACTTAGATCGGAACTATATGGAGGATGGTCCAATAATTCCACGTTTTCTACGTTTTCTTCCATTAAATACTGCCTTGTTTCTTGGGCTGTGTGCGAGCTTGCATTGTCTTGGTGGAGGATGATTCTTCTTTCGGGGTTGATTTTTCGAAGCTCGGTGATGACTTTTGGCAAACAAATGGTGGTATACCAATCCGCAGTAACAGTTATTTGCTCATTAAGAGGAATTGTTGCAATATGATCCGCTTTTGACACAAATGTCGCGACCATCTTTTTCGAAACACTTCGAGAACGGATGACTTTTGTTGTCTTTTCTTCACCTTGGAACACCCAAACAGCCGACTGTCGTTTATTTTCTGGTTCATAACAGTAAATCCACGATTCATCACCACTAACAATGCTGTACACATTTTTTTGAGTTTCCGGAATTGAAATGGTCAAGCGTTTTTTGACACCAACAGGTGGGGTATCCAACGAGAAACTAATTTCTTACTCCTAATTCTTCATGTAAATTTTTTGAATTGAGGTCTTTGAGATCTTCAAGAACGCCTCAATCTCGCGATATGTCACATGTCTATCTTCAATGATGAGTTTGCGCACAACATCGACGTTTTCCTGGGTGACTTCCGTTTTTGGTGCACCCACCCTGGAACCGTCGCTAAGACTCACCCGTCCACGTTTGAATTCTCCATACCAAAGGGAAATTGTCGACTGATATGTGGCGCTTCGTTGCCGAAAACAGACAGTAACTCAGCAAGGCATTCTTATTGCGATAATTGTCTCTGAAAGTTGTAATAAATTATGGCGCGAAAATGTTCTCGGTTGACTTCCATTTGTCTAATGACTTGGTGACACTTAAAAATTCACTGTAGTGAGAAAACTGCACGTATTGTTGTGAAACTTTGAATTTAAGTTTACTAAAGAGTGAGGTTAAGATTCAGTACTGACGTTCGACCCGCGCGGTGTACTGTTTCTATATGCAAAACTTAAAAGAACAAGGAACAAGAATGGAATAGAATTTAGAAAAAATTAAACAGAAGTTTGCAGAGATAACATCTCAAGTTTCAATGTGACAGGAATTAAGATATTGGAAAAGAATCAACTGTATTTTGATAAAACCTTGTGAGAAATAACACTACGCTAATCGATTCAGATAAATTTATGTGTTTTGTTTCTGCTGAATTTGTGCAGTTATTAATATTCACCTTGATTGGTAAGTATGCTATCATTCA